GGACTGGCTCGGTAGACCTGAACTCGGTGCTTCCTGAAGGAGGAGTCTGGTCGGGGCGTGTCCTCTTCACCTGGCGTCTCTGGCTGCCCGAGAGWAGGYGGCGCGAATCGGCACTAGACATGATGGCTGCCAAAAGACCACAAGATATTAGTCCAACAGGAAGCAAAATGCATGTGTACACAAGTCACAAGACACTACGCGACCTAAAAGACCGACTTACCCGGGCTCAAGCTTACCTGCACGAGCTTCTCCTCTGCCAAGTAGTCCGAGCAGAGGAAGCCTATCGATGCCTAGGACAGCATCGTTTTCTGAATCTTAGGGTTCAGCTCAGCCCCCAGGTCCTGGATAGTACACCTCCAAGAGGTGGGAAAGGGCCACCCCTCAGGGTTACGGGCCACAAAGTAGTCCCGCTTCCAGGCGGAAATCTTATTCGGCAGCTCGTATAAGAGCCTGTAGCCGCGACGGGGGGAGAGGTAATAAAAGCGCTTCTCCGGAGGAACCCTAGAAGCAGCATTCTTTATACAAAGGATAGAGGCAAAAACATCAAGGTCCAAGGGGAGGCAGTACTCGTGGCATAGGGATATAGTCCCAACCATGTTTCGAACAGCGTTAGGGTGAAGCTGGTCAATGGTGACGTTGAAGTGGTTCAGCACCTCCACTATCAAGGGGTGCAGGGGAAGACGCGGGACAGCCTTGAGTTGTTCCTGGAAAATCACTATGTCATTGGGACTATGCTCCCAAGGAAAGTTGCCAGTGGGGAGGCTGTAAATCAGGTCCCCGGGAAGGCGAAAATGACGGATTAGAGACCTGAGTCTCTCCGCTGTCATTAAAGAAGGGCCAAAGGTATCGGGCTCCCTCCCTCTAGAAGTGGATGCCATGTCACCAGAGGCCTCCCGAGCCTCCAGGATATGCTCCCAGACTCCCCCTGAGCTCAAGGGAGCATCACCATCTTAGCTGTCGTCCCTGTGGTAGGTATGGTGTGGTTACCCAGACATGGCTGATGGTGATTGGGACTCACCAGAGTAGAAGGAATGAAGCGGATTGAGAAACTTGAGCAGACTAAGCGAAGTACGCGACCTCAGAATCCAAAGCAAGATAGCGTGGACGAAGGTAGGGCCGTGGGGGGGCACCCCATTTATAGCCCTTGCCCTCTCAAACCGATGGCCCAGATCAAAGCAGATCCAACGGTCCGTGGGAGCCCTGACCGCACGCCTTCTAAAAACCGAAGGCGATTGGCGGCACGTCTTCCACGATTAAGGTAGTCGCAGCAGCACGACATTCGGAATTAAAGGCCACCTCAGCACGTTTTCAGAACCTGAAAAGTCAAAGAAGTCAGAATATTTCTTGATTCTCGCAAATACATTTGTTGAAGACAGTCAATCAAGTTTTGAATTTTGGTCAAATCAGTCCATCACGCTTCATAAACTCCCTACGCTAAGGCGGCACTCTTAGCCCGAGTAGTGGGGGGCAATTGATGAAGGATGATTCGACCCGATCTATGAAATAGCGACACGTGGACGCCGACTCGGCGTAAGCGACAGCTCAGCATCGTGTTCCGATACGGTTAAGTGATAGGCCCATAAAGCAGCCCGCTACGTGGTAGCGAGGTAAAAGAGGGGCTCGCCACAATGCGAGCTCCGAGTTCCCCGAGCTACCTCAAGGGATATTCCGAGGCAAACTTTAACTTACAATCTAAGAAAGCTAGCTCGCCCGAGCTCCCGAACATGGCAAATTATCTGAGGACCAATTCTACTAAGGGTACTTCTGAGGTATTCAAAGCTCGTTGCGGAGTAGCTCGCGAATGGGCTGCACAAGCTTTCCTCAAGAAGCTTCTAGTTAATAAGTCGTACCTATCAGACTGGGCCACGTCCCTAACTGACGGCGCAGTCCCTGTCCTTTCGCCAGTGTGCGCCCATGTCTCTCAGTAGGCGGAGGCGTGCCTGTCACTTTGGGGATGTGTCACTCGCCCGAGTAAGGAGTACGTCCCAACGGCCACCTGCGCAGCCCTGGCAAGTAGCGGGTGTGGCAGGGACCCAGTGGCAGTTATGCCCGATCCCGCAAGAGCACTCCTATAAGAGCCCCCCAAGGCAGAAGAGAAAGGCTCTCTTGAGACCTCTAATCTCGGGAATATAGTGATAAGGTGCGACCTCCACTCTTAGCTTTCGTTTTCTCTCTTTCCTCCCCATACACAGTATTAACTTAAGCATTGGAGTATTCCCATCGGGCTAATCCCCGGGAATCCTTCCTTCCATCTTCTCAGGTGCCGGTCGTTGCCAGCGAGGAGCCAGTCAGCCGCCAGGTAGGAGTGCCCGGATCGTGCCACATCAAAACTTATTTAGAGTAAGCATTAAATCCATAACCCAACCCTGCGGTTGAATAACATTGATCTTAAAATGATGCTATGGTTGGGTCAAGTTGGTTTTACCAATTTTCTTGATCTATTGACATCCCTAGTGATGGATATGAGGGATAGACCTAGGGGTGATTAATTATGGGCCCAGTTGGGCTTAGGAAGGTTCAAAAATTTTGATGCAATATGCCCCATACTGAGCATATTGGGTTATATTGGGAGATTAGTGATACAAAATAGTTTTTAATAATATCAAAACACTTGATATACACATTTTCGTGCATATCAAGTATATTGATACTTTGAACCTTGTGGCTTAGTATCTATATTAAGGCCTATAACTCAGGCCTAGGCCTAGGTTTACATGCTCTTTGGGCCATTGCTAAGCTTCTAGGCATATAACTTTAAATATATTATGTTAAATAGATAATATTTTATATTATAAAACATTTGATATACTTTATATAATAGAAATATTATAGGGAAAACTTCACTTAGGTGGGGGTATTTGAAGTTTTGAATCGTTGTAAGTGTATGGTGGAGTTAAAATTTTTAAGATGGATTTTCAGTGAGGTTTTCCCAATATTATATATATGATAAAATATAAAATAACACATATATACATATACATCTTGTGGGCTAGTGGAGAAAATCTAGGCTAGAAATGATTCTCCGTAATTTACTTGTGGAATTGCCGGCTTTCATGGTATATGACTAGTGGGCCTCTTGTTCACCCAAAATATTGACACAATATGCCCGATATTTGATGTATCATATTGGTGTATGAAGGCATTGGCAACGGGTAAGGGTGGACACAATATTGTTCAGGACCTATGGTGTCAGTTATGATTGTCACTAAAAGTAATAAAGGTGACCATAACTATCGCTAAAGGTGGAAAAGTAAAATGTTATAATAAGATAATTTTGTTATAAATGATTTTAATTGAAGGATATATCTATAATATCTAGCAATGATCTGTTAAACTCATTTGTCTAAGAATAAACGATTTCTTAATTGTCTAAGAAAAACTAAAAATTGAGAAAAATAATTTATTTTATATATTCTAAATGATTTTCATGGTAAAAGAGAGCTATAAGGTGGATCTATTGATGATATATCAAACTCATTAATCCAACAACAATTTTATGGGTCTTGTAATGATTTTTAAAAGATTGGAAGCTCAAACATTATTTGATGTTTAAATATTCTAAATTCTCGGTAATGTTGATGCAATGTATCTATCCATATAAATTATTAAAATGTGCATTTCTTATGTATTTATACCTTATTCATGGTTATATAATCATTGGATTTATTGTTATTGATGTATTTGTGGAATTTGTTTCCACAATATCCATGCACACTCAAAAGTATATTCAAAAGTATATTGTTATTGATGTTTTTGAATCTTGATGAATACCCACAACTAATCTCTGCTAACCTCTATTTACCTACTAGTTTTGACATTTTAATGGGTATTTGGGTCTGAACTCCAAAACCCTTTGCTCGAATCGACCCACCCCGACCAATGGTACTAGGACTCTAGGAGAGTAGGGATGTCAACAGGTTGGGTTTGGCACGTGTTTTCCTCAACCCTAACTTGACCCTATAGTGCCTCAACATGAACCCGACCTGACCTACCTTATAAATACATAATTTTCAAACCCGATTCGACCCTATAGGGTTTAACTCGATATCGACCCTGCATGACTCATAGCATTTCAATTGTATTTTTTTTAACACGTTTTGAAGACCTAAAATTCATTAATTTAAATTAGAAAATTGTTTTATAGAATCTAAGATATCACTTTTTCCATTTAAAAAAAGAAAAAAATTAAAACCAACATATAAATAAATCTTAAATTTTAAAACTATAGAGTTAGAAGTCAAAAACTTATAAAAATACTTTGTATATATACAAAATATCATGACCCAGCGGGGTGGGTTAGTCAAAACCTAAACCCAATTCGGATTGAGGAATCAAAACCTTAACTCGACCCTAAAACCAAACAACGACCTCACCTAACCGTGTACAAGCAATCCATTCTCCACCAAACAACAATATTTAATTTGGCGGACATGGTTTTAGGTCAATGATCTCTCTCTTATAGTCTTTTCCATTTTTGTTCCTCCTTTCGTTCAAACTTTTTTTAATGCGGGTCTGAATCTTCTAATTTTTTATTTTCTGACCCGTTTTTATTTCCCATCGTCCGGGTTTGGATCGTACGGAGGATCTACTCGCTTAGGACAGGATCTAGCTGAAGTCGTCCAATTGGAATCTGATGCATTCTAGAGTCATCTGATTGTATGATCGGAGTCTTTTTATCTCCATCCTTGATCTGGGCCCTTGAAGGGGGACCATGATTGTGGTCGCTGCAGCTTCCAAACAGAAACCCACGTTCTTCTGGGCCCCATGAGAACGGCGAGCCGATTGTCCACGTCCATTAAATAGGAATCTAACGAACTGCATTTTGTTGTATCATATTCTCCATTCTATTCCAATCTGACGAATAGTAATTCTCTAACAAATTTCGCGCACCCGGGATTCGATCTCAAGTAGGGCCCATCGAATTTTGAGAATAAAATTAAAAATAAATCCAGCAAAAATTTCCATCTGAATGTTTAGCGAAAAATAATTAAAAAAGCTACAGTAGAGATAGAAGAGAAAGAGAGAGTTCGGCTTCGTTGGTTGTTGCTTTCAGAGATGAGAGAACGCAACCTATTCATTCCCCTTCAACTGCTTATATTTCTGGATTAAAAGAACTAAATTTTTATTCTTTTTTTCTTCTGGGTTTTGTATCAACCGATCATTTGGGTTTTCTGGATCGAAGATGGGGGGTTCAGGGGGAGAGAACTCAAGGAGGAAACTAATGGAAGAAGTATCGGGAGTGGCCGAGCTGGTTAGGGAGTTGCAGGATTCAGCTTCATCTCTAATCTCCAAGACGTTCAACGAAGAACAAGCTCTCCGCCAGCGAACTCTCACGCTGGATTCCAATATTAAGAAACTCCGTTCCTCGATCGATTCTGCCGTCAAGAAATCCTTACTCGATCCTAAGGAAGCTGAGAAGGTAAGATTTCCTCTTTTTTCAGTTTCCCTTTCGTGCTTCATGCAGTATAGGTTGCTTGCGCTATACTGTTCTTAGGGTTTCCGCTGTTATTGTAGCTTATGTTTGTCTTGCACTGTTCATGCATTCGATTTGGGGTGCTTTATAAGCTTTTTGAATCCATAATTCTGTTTTCGTGTCTAGTTGTTAGATTGGCTAATTTGGTTCTTCTGTGGTTGTGTTAAGCTGGGAGAAGAATTAGACAGAGCGAGATGCATTCTAACTGATGGGGACGCGTCTTTCTTTCTTCCTAGCAAAGCTAAAGGTGCTTTTACTTTTCTGTTAGTTCAATTTCTTCTCCTGGGTCTTTACCAGAAAAAGAAAAAAATTATTCTTCTTGGGCCAGTGGCATTGATTTCCTGTTTAACTTTTAATTAGCGATGTGGTTTTGGTTAGTGGTGTGAAATTCGTTAGTGACATACAGGTACTTTCCTGAAGATGTTTCTTGGTCCTGTCAATGTACGTGCTAATGGGAAAGACGTCCAATTGAAAGTAAAAGAGGAGTATAATAGTTACAGGGTATGCTTCTTGTATCCCTATTCACTTTTCCACATTTTCATGTTTTTTTTTTCTAATTTCTATTGTGGAAGTGTTTTTTATCTACACATAAATATTCCCTTTGATTGGTTGGGGAGGGGGCAAAAGAGATAAAATAGAAGTGGGTAAACTTCCATCAATTCTGTTTTTCTGGGGTTCGCTGATTTAGTTTCAGAGCACATAAATGTGATATTTGTGCTTGCAAACTATGGGTTATGAATGCTGGCCTTCCAATTGTTTCTTCATATGCCTGGAGAGACTATGGTGTCTTTGCTCATTCTTTGACTAGAAGTATTATACATGGGAAGGCATTTTTATTGGGATTTTCTTTCATAAATTATTGTATTCTTCATATCTTATATTTCCTAATATATCTTGAGTTCCTATGTGAACTGAACGGTGCCATATGTGAATTCAGAGAAACTTATGAATTAATTGGGGTATCAATATGAGCTTTGCTCTTGGATTATTCAAAAATTGAGTAATGTTTTGAAAATTGTAGTCATAGGGAAAGTTGGGTGGAGTCAAATTGTAAGTTGTATTGGAAATTGTGAAATAATCTTTTTTTACAAACTTGTAAAAAATAAAAAAAGGTTCATCATTAATGTGTTAATCAATCAGGTGGAATTTATCAAAATTCACGGGTGGGCTTTGATTGGTCAAAACTCTTCCGGTACCATGTCTTTTTGGCATCATAGATTTTCCCAATTAAAAATAGATAGATAAATTAAAAATCTAGATAAATATAAAAAAGTGTTTTACCCTATTTTTAATCCATATATACAATATATGCACCTAAAACAATAGAGTTTACCACTTGTACACTATCAATTTAGACTTGAAGGTCAAATAATCAATATACAATGACTCTTTAACCTACATATGATGGAAAATCAACTCAATCTCTGGTCTTGAATAACTAAATAAATTTTTTTTTTTCTAGTAAGGGCTTTATCCACTGACAAAACTAAATGGAAACAAAGAAATGACAAAGTAGAAAACTAATTCTTAATTGTAACGGTTTGAATTGCATGAATCGTATAAATCGCAAGATTCAGGAATCAAATCGTAAGATTGAAACAAAATCATATTATTTTTGCAGAAAAGGATTTATACATAAGATTCTAATTGAAGCCCTTGGGATTCATGATTCAAATGATGAATCGTATTGTAAGTCATAAGACTATGACAACACTGTTGGGCTTGACACAGTATTATCTTCTGTGAGCAGGATAGAACTGCCTTTATGTTCCTTCTCTTCCCATCAATACTACTATTTTTAAGGTCTTGGTTCTGGAATGGATGCTTGCCAACTTTGCCAGTTCAGCTGTACCAGGTACAAAATGTCTTCAAGGTGTTCTGCATTTCAAATGGAATTCTATCTAAGTCAGGCATTTTATGAAGTTAATATTGAAAATATCTTCTTCAGGCCTGGCTATTGTTTCTCTACACAAGTTTGGCTTTGCGAGAGAACATATTAAGGGTGAACGGAAGTGATATTCGTCCATGGTAATTGTAATCACTCTTTAATGCCTGCTGAATTTCCTGTTTGTTACTTTTCATCAACAAGATTGTTTCTTGTGTTTCCTTCTCTTTTTTGTCAACAAAATTATCTGTTGTACTTCCTTTCCTGAGCTTCTTGGACGTGTTTCTGGAGTATTGTCTTCTGTTACTAGTTTATTGTTTTTATCTTTTTTAAAATTATCAGCTCAATAGAAAAACAACAGCAAGAATATTGGATAACCAAGAAAGAATATAGACCAAATGAGGCTGTTCAGATGGACTGGCAAGACCAGGAATTGGTCAATAGGTAAAGGATGAAGTTGAGAAACATTCTGTTCAAATGCATTGAAGCACAATGGCATTATCAGAAAAAAAAGAAATGGTTTGATGCAAGTTGAAGCAAAGTTTTAAAATTCTGAGGCGTGATGTGAGGCATTCCACTACCTGGAGGCATGAGGCGTAAGTCTCCTGAGTGCAAGGGGGCATAAGCCTCCTCAAGAGAAGGATTATTTATTTTCTTTTCTTTCTTTCAATTTTGAGGCATACCAGATATGTATGTGTCATGCAGAAGGTGTTTGAGTTTCAGGCATATGCCTCAGAGGCATCTACACCTCCAGCATACCTCAAACACCTATTAAAACATTGGTTGAAAGCTTTAAAATGATACATGGAAGGACAGAAATGTGAGTTGGAATGAGTAATGGCAAAGAACAAAAGGGCATAGTTATAAAAATTGGATTGACCCAACAGGTTGACTTGGAAAACTTGTAACGTGGCTACCTTCACAGTTCAGTCTGACCAGATATTGCTTGAAACCTGGAATGAGCAAGATGACCTGTATAGAATTTATGTGACCTATAAACCATGGTTTTGGATGAAGTGCTTAAGTTTTGCATATATTTTTAGACTTTTATTTTGTTGGAAATGGAAATATTAAACTTAATATTGTTATTCAAGATTCAGACAAGATTTTAAATATCGATAGTCTGATATGCCATGTATCAAGGCACTTTACATTTATTTATTTTTTCAAACCTTTTCAGGGGGATTGGTATAAGGCCTGTCTACCCCCCGAAACAGGCATGGTTTTAAAACCAGACCGGATGGTCGGACCGGAAAACCGGGAACCAATCACCTGACCGGTTCCATTTTACCCCAGAACCATCTTTTGGCCAAAAACTGTTGATTTGGTCAGCAAACCACTGACACTGGCGGTTGAACCGTTTGAACCGTCCAATGGTTTTTGGTCATTTTTAATTTTTTTGTCACAACGGGCCGTCCGTTCGGTTTGAACGATTGGACCGTTCGACCCGGGAACTGGACTCCTGAATGGTTTTTTGTCCAGTTCGGTTTTAAAAACCTTGGAAACAGGTTAAAACCCAAGACACCCATTATTTTCTGTATTGGTGACCCACTGATATGATACAAATCAGCCGAACGTTGCGTAATTTTAATCCTTGGATTCAGGTAAAAAATTGTTCAATCTAAGTATCATATTTTTATAATTTATTCATTCAATTATTTTTGGGAGAATGACGGGTTCATCCCAGGGTCAGAATTTTTAGGCCCAAAATACAGTTGGGGTACGTGCCAGCTCAGAATTGATGCCAATTCACGGGCGGGCATTGGTGTATAGAGTGGGGGTTTTCGACATTTTGAATGTTTATAGATCTGCAGTGGAATTCAGAAATCTGCATTGGGCCTGTCTGTACTTTTCCGATGATTTTTTTCTGTCTTTGTTGACTGAAGCTTTGCAGAGACTGAGGCTACATTTGGTTGGCAAGAGTATATAAGAAAGTGAAAGAAAAGAGAAGCAAAGAAAATGAAAGAAAATCTTTATTTTCTGTAATATGCTTAGTTATCAAGCAAAAGTAACTGTTACAAAAAAAATCAACATTTAAAAGGAACTTTTTAGAAACAACAATATATTTTTTTATTAGTAAGAATTGATGATATTTTGTTGTGGACCTACAAACTTTCCCAGACTAACCATAACACTTGTTTTGCAGATTTATTAAGAAAGTTTCTAAATTCTCTCTCTCTCTCTCTCTCACACACACACACACACACTTTCTGGGCAATCAACATAGCCTTAGGAGAGGAGGGAAATAAAAGGAACAAAGTTAGAAGGGTGGGATGTTAGAGTCTTTGGTGTGAGGTTCATTGAGTAAGATTGCAATTATACTAATATTTGATTTTCACAACAAGAAAGGGGAATGAGGGAATAAATGGATGAAATGGGTCCATGGAAGCTGGAATCAGGCCACAAAGCCCACAGCTTCTTAGTTAGGGGTGGACAGAATGCAGGAGAGTCAGCACCAAACCATAGATTTGTAGGAATATTTCAGCTTCATTCATTTATTAATTGCTCAAAAGAATGTTTACATGGTTTGATATGGAAAATTGAGAATTCTTTTTTGAGACCTACCATATATTTATTTTCCTAAGTAATGAGGCTAAAGAAATGCTTGCTAGAGAATGAATCTTCTAAATCCTTCAAATATTCAGAAAATCTTGAGGGTCCAGTTAAATACTTGAGAAGATTTGGCTATAAGAATCTTGATAAGATTTGGTTGAGAGTGTACCTTTTGAATATCACATGGGGTCCTGACAGCAATTAACTTCTTGGGCTTGTTGTAAAGGATTCAATGTTTTGGGCCTCTGGAGAAACTCACATTTATTGGGCTTTGGTTTTCTGAATACATCATTTTTATGAAATTCTGATTATTGACCCATCAAGTAGCGAGAAACGATTTAAGGACCCATAGTTTACAAATGGATATGGACTCATGTTGTGGGCTTTCGGAGCAACTCACACATTTACTGGGCATGTACTTGCCAAGTACATCAGATTTGTGAAATCTTGTCACATATTTGATTACTGGCCCATCAGCTAGTCAGTGTTTTTGCAAATTGGTTCTTTGTTTCAGAGGAGATGGAGGTCTGTGGTTGTTTTCAGGTTTGGGAGTCTAGGGAGTGGTGACATGGTTTCAAGAAGAGTTTGGTTTAAGATTTTGGTTAAGTTTTTGTTAATGTGTTTAGTTGAAATTGTGGTTTAGGTGGTCATCTTCTTTCTCTCAGGTGATAAGATATCACCCTTCTTATGTACTCTCCTTTTTCTTTTTAATGAATTTCTATTTTCCTTTCAAAAAAAAGTGCAAAGGGCTTTTTGCACCTGAGGCATAAGGCACAAGGTAAGGTTCACACCTTTTTGAAGAAAGATGCAAAAATTTCAAAAATTTCAAAAAAAATACCAACAAAGAAAAATCAAAATGCAAAAAAATCAAAATTAATTAAAAAGTATTAAAAATAGTATTAATAGAAAATGCACACCTTAATTTTAAACTAATTTTTTAAAAAGCCTATTGGTTCAAAATAAAACACATAACTATAACATATAAATCATATTCAAGCACTCAATGATTCAAGCATGTGAAACTTTCAATCTCTTTTTTTTCTTTCCCAATCGCATTACTTCAAATAGCTAATGTTATGTTAAACATCTCACGTTCCTAATTCTATGAGCCACCTTTGTACCAAGCTTCTTGAGACAAGCCAAACAAGCCTATGATAGGGTCTTACATTCTTAATCCATACATAAAATATTGGTTTTATAATTTTAATTATAGTTCCTTATCTTTTAAAAATGTTTTGCATTAAGAAGAATGGATGGACAACATTAACAAAGGGGTGGGTGGGTGGGGTGTTTTCGGAGCTTCAGTGAGTGAGTGAGCATGGACTTGTTTGGGCTTGCCTCAAACAATTCAAGGAGCTATAGTTAAAATTATAAAACCAATTTTTTATTTACAGATTAAGAATTTAAGACCCTAGCATGGACTTGTTTGGGCTTGCCTCAAGGGGCTTGGTCAGGCTCAGGGGGTCCAAAAGGCGCATGCCTGAACTGAAGTGTAAGGCGCACCAAGTATGTGCCTTTTCAAAAGGGCTGCAAATGGGCCAGGCATGGTGAAGGCCTTAAAATACATCTCAGGGATGCCTTTTAAATTACTACAGTTAGTGAGTAGTGAAACTCCCATAGTTTAACAATGGATATGGCACCAAATAGAATGGAATGGTGGAACAATATTCATGTATCCATCCCCAACAACTGGTGTATGAAATTGTTCTATAATATATAGATAAGCATGTCCATTGACCAATCGGCCGGACCTGAATTGACATGTGGTCATTGCTGAAGCAGTGAGCCAGGGACTAGTCACCTTTCCTGGTGAATGTCCAGAAAGGTCAAAAACCAACATCAGCAAAAGATTATAATTTTCTTATTTTATTGAATTTGATTGAACTGGAGGAAGTTTATCTCAAACTGAAAAAGAACTTCACAAATAATGCTGAAATCAGATGGTTAAAGGCCATTTGGTTGTATAAGTTTGGACATAAGAATGTATTAGTCAGGACCTTATAAAGTAGGTCCTGAGCAATTTTTGAATTATGAGGGCCTTGGACCCATGTACAGGTCCCCTGTCCTGAGATCCAAGATTCTCCCATGCTTGGAGTCCTTGGATGACAATATTGATTATACATGATTAAAGCAAATATACTAGATAGTAGTAAACTTTTTTAGCATGTATGATGCATGAACTATATGGTGTTGGAGGGGTATGGGGTCTAGACTAGCTAATGGTGGGACAAATAACAGGGGTGATGTGTCCTTTTTTTTTTTTTAAGAAAAGGTGGCTGCATGGCTCAAATAAAAGAAAGGGATAAGCCTGCTTGGTGAAAGGGGTGATGATTGATCAGCCTAACTGCTAGTAAACTATGCTAAGCAGGGTGAATATCTTAGGGAATAATTGGATTCTGTTTTGGATCTCAAAAACAAAACAGAATTACTCAAAACAGGAGAATAGAATGTACCAACATGGTAACCAGAAATTCCAAACCTTAAAACATAAATTTGAAAAAAAGGCAAAGTTATTGCTAAAACAGAATTAATCAAGACAACAAAAATGCCTCCTATCTAGAAGATCCAGAGAAACTCTGAGATAATTGGA